TAAGAGTTGGTCGAGTTCTATTAATAGAACTATATTTAGCTTCCAGCTTTATTTATATCTGAATACTTCGGTAGCGAGATGGCTCAACCGAATATAGGTTTCTAGGGACTATTAACGTTACCTAGTTGATCCTCCGATCAGCCAACCAGATGTGCCAGTCTGATAAAGGCTAAGTCGGTAATTCTTGATAAGTGGCAAGTTATTGGTTAAGACAATAACTAAGGACATCAAGAGTATTAAATAGAATTTTTTCTTTTCTAAAGATAGGATTTTATGAGTCCCTCGGATTCGCCCCAATGAAACATACCATAGTTTCTAATAGAGCGACAACGAAACACTAAATAAAATCCCTTCGGCGGAAACAGTACTGAGAAGATTATATATAAGCAATGTCTCAGCCTCACAATCCCTCAGAGTATGCTGTTTTCACGAGGCAAACCTAAATTTACTAAAAGTCTCATTTCGTTTATTTACTTTGATATTTACACGATACTTAGAATTTACCTACGCGTTTTATTTATTCTAAGGCTTAAGTATCGCCTTAATAGACCGAATCTTACAGTTGGTTGTTCGCTTTTCAGAACTTCAGAATTCAGACTGGTGACTTCAGAAGTTCAGAGTTCAGACTCTCAGTCTCTCGCCCAGAGTGGTGGTGATTTTGAGTCTCGAGAGTCGCAGTCGAGTCTCGTTCTCCGAATATTTTATCGACTCGGATTCCGCGAAAAATTTGATTTGAAATCCATATTTTTTCGGCAAATCGTTGGAAATCGAAAATTCACCACCCCGGCAAACATACATAGCCTCCTAATTTAAAATCGAAATCTACTTTCCAATCAAATATTTCCATTTTTTTACGATTCTAGAATCGATTGTCGATTTGGGCCCAAATCGATTCTCCAAATCGATGAAAATTCACAGAATGAATTCTATTTAAAAAACGCAACCATGGCTTCATTGGTCAATTTTAATGAAAAAAATTGTATTGCGAAGTAAATCTAATTTTATATTCAGCTTTGGACACTGTTGGAAATAAACTTGTGGAATCGATTCCTGGAATCCTGAGGCTGAAAGCCACACACCTATCAACGGGATTTGGAATTGACTTTGATAATTGACGAATTGTCCAATCCAACACATTCTATAAAAAATTTCATTTGCAGTATTTAAAAAAAATCTTTTTAGCGGTCGACGGCTGGACGCACGGTCGCACCATAGCGCCAGTCGTACATAGCCTCAGGCAGACAGTCAGTCAAGACACTCAGGCACGACCACTCACGAGTGACGAGTCACGACTCCTCTGAGCCATCTCAGCCGGCTCTCAGACTCAGAGTCTCAGAGTCTCAGAGTCTCAGTGGAGACTGGAGAGCCTAAACGGTATTCATAAATTCTTCGCAAAAGGGCGCCAATCAGAAATATATTGAAGTTCGGAGCCCAATGAAGTTTGTGATTAATTTTATACATGGATTTTTAATTTATCAATATTTAAAACTACAGAATTCATCTCTTTGTGGTATAGGGTTTAGGGTTTCCAAAACATAGCGCCCTTAATAGTAAATACATAGAAAATGTCCGGCACACTGTAGGGCAAATACTAAATACAGTATACAGCCATACGCGTATAAATATTCTGCCTACGCAAGTTCCCTTCCTATTCCACTATAGCATTTCCGTTCTGTAGTATCTTGATCGTTATATTTGGTAACAGTGGTAGAACTATTTAATTACAGCCCAGACCAAACATGTGGCTAAAGTATTTTGCGATATGTGCTTTCATGTTGTCAATCTTCATTATAGGGCGTCAGGGCGGCTACAAAGATACGCGAATTGGTTCACTACAAGCTCTGTTTCAACAAGAACGAACTTATCAGTTTCCACCGGGTTTAAATGTATCGCCACTTGAATTCGTACCGTCTCTAGCCTTTCCCAATGAAGTCCTATCTTATGTTCTCATGCGACCATCGACCATTCCATTGCAAACTGAGCCCATTAATGCTCCGGTTCTGTTTCTAGCGTCTCCATCATCAGTCGGCATTGACGACATCGCAAAATATATAGCAACAGCTAACTCTGAGGCTGTCGTAATTCAAGAGTTTAAGCGCGTTTTGGAAGATCCTCAGCAGTTATATAGTAGTGAAAATACGGGGCTGACACCCGTGGTTCTGGATGTCGGTTCCAACTCGGGATTTTACTCACAACTGGCCGCTGTGATGGGTTATCAGGTGGTTGCCTTCGATCCACAGCCACAGTGTGCCATGTTTGTGTTAGGTGCCGCCAAGTTGAATGGGATAGACAGCAGACTCACAATCCTAAATGCCTTTGCTGGTTCAGGTGACGGGAGTATGGTGGGTCGTCGAACGGGATGCTGGGGTACATACCCAAACTACGGTCCTTGGGAGACGGGACAACAGGGAAAATTGATAGAGGTGCTCAGGAAATCTGGGATTGTGGAGGTGGGCATGGAGCGTGTACCACATATTGGTATAGACAAGGTGATGGACCCAGATAAGCACGTGGTGCCGCTGATGAAGGTTGATGTCGAGGGGTTCGAGGACGGTGTTTTCAGATCGATGAGGAAAATGCTGAGTGCTGGGAGGGTGCACAACATCGTATGCGAGTTGAACAAAAACGCATGGAAGAATTTCAACGTGACACATGAAGATGCGTGTGAAATGTTAACACACATGACAACCTTTGGATACAAGATCCACCTCGGCTTAGATGGCCCGCTGTTGTTCAGTCAAAAGTCCTGGGATATGCAACAACGCCCCTGTGCGGCAATGATGGCGTTGGGGTGGATATCTCAAGATATACTCATGGTTCTGGAAGACCCAAAGTTTTAGAGGGTTTAAAGTTCAAGTAGATAGTACCGAACTTGAAAATCCATCGCTGCTTGACACTGATATATACAGTGTGCCGTGATTTGGACTCAGTTGCACGATTTACATGAAGGAATGGTTGCTACACATGTCAGCATCCCTGATTGTATGCGTAAAGAATGACCTATCGTTTGCCAAACATAGGCCAAACCTCGTCAAATATTTAAGGTATTTAAGAGGAGACAAATGAGCACCTTTAGAGATGTAGGCGTTTAATAAGGACTTTCTTCAGTATATGTTTTCGGTGTGGAGACGAGTGAGGCGAATGCCGGGCTAGCCATGTGCCTGGGCTGTCGGCCTTCAGACCATAAGATCCCCAAGGATAAGAATTACGTTGCTTGTCTCGGATGTGTCGATAACGGGTACGTCTATGATACTTAACGCATTCAGATTCAATAGATACACTAGAGAGCCCCCAAACTAAGCCAACCACGCAGCACTTGGTAATAAGCGTGCGTCACCACGTTGCTACTAAACATATAGTGAGCGCGGGAAGGATCGAAGCGGTGGAGGTTTTTGACCGATACTCTGACTGATGATCGAGTGTGTATTGATCTTCTGCGGTTCGCAGTTGGATAGTGTGGAGCGCAATCTGCGATACTCTCAGCCACTACACTGCACAGCCATTGGTATGTGCCATTCGCTCTGGAAGTTACTTGCACTCAATGGTTCGCAGACAAGCAGTCAAGCGGCGCACACAAGTGGTGTTTTTAAACGACGCACACTTGCATTCAAGTGATAAATCGAAATGCAAGTGACAGTGTCACCAGAACTCGTCAATGCTGTATACGTCATGCCTCATTGAATTTATCTGCATATTGCAGAATCCGGCTTTGTTACGAGATGTGCTGCTATTGACCGTTCGTCTGGTAGTTATTTGCTGTTCACACGCTCCAAATAACTTCTAATAATCAATTGCACTGATGCACGCATTGTAGATGTACATGTGTATAGACGGGTATGAATCATCGCGATTTGATACAGACACATTCAGTAGCTACGATCATATCGATATTATTTAACCTATAGCTATACACTCTGGAATCATCTTTGTACGACACATTAAGTAGCTACGATCATATGTTGTTATTCAACCTATAGTCTAGAACTTACTGTAGAACCATCATAGTATAAAAGCTAACGTCCATATATATACAAACTTCAGAGAGCGCTTAATACGCCTCCCAAGTGTTTAAGCATGTGCACGTACGTATACATGATATAATATATATATATATATATATTTATGTATATATATATACATATATAAATATTATATAGATATATAGATATATATATATATATATATATATATATATATATATATATATATATATATATATATATATATATATATAAATCAATAAATATATATATTTATATATATATATATATGAATATATGATTTTGTTCATCAATAGCACTAAGCTTTGGCAGCCGCTGTAGATCCGCAGACATTGCTGGCATTCCTTCCATTTGGCCTCCAATTTATATAGCATTG